TTTGAAACAGCCGGGCATAGTCAGGTATGCAAGCTAGTGCTAAATAAGCCGCATACTCAGAAGCTCACTACGGTTCCCTAGAAATACTGATACCATTATGTAACGTAAGGGTTGTAAAAGCTTCCATGCTCTACAGATTTAAAACAATAACAGTTCATTGCGAAGACGAGTTAAAATGTATGGAACTACAAAGTGTAATAAGCTAAATCTCAACAGTGATAAAAAACACCATAGCGAGGCACAAACTTGAATCTGAATCTCATGTAGTCGTTGTTGATAAACTCCATGAGATTTCCATTTTTCTTTATCTTGCACAAATTTCGAAAATGATAATGGGCAGCACTTAATGCATTACAAAGTTTGATGATTCCAGACATTGATTTTTTGACTGTTCGTGGCAGTGGGCATTTCGTCCCACAGGACAAACCAAGGGAGGCGCTACAGATGATCTACAATTTCGTCAAGTCTCGTGATTATTCTCTGCCTGTACCATTTTGATACAGTTGTGATTACAGTTAGAGGAAAACGAGAATAAATTCTGTTTGCTCATAAATTATATTGAGTTAACTTGACCCACAATAACAAGAACTTAACTGTTAAAGTAATGGCTAAGAAGAAAAGATGTCCATCACTTGCTGCTACCAAAATGAAGATTATATTCTTGCTGTCTTCATAAGGATCTGCCGCACATTTTGATTATCAGTCTGCTATAAGGAATAAGAGATGGCGTCAGCGTTTTTGGTGTCAGTATCATGCCAAGCCCCAGGTTTTATCGGTGGAACATTTACAAATGTGTTCACGTTACTCGTCTTCTTCGGAAAGCTAACATAAAACGTAAGCCTTTCTCATATCGTTAAGCTTAGACTACCTAAGGAATAGCATTATGAGATTATTAGGAACCGAAAAAACAACGTTGGCTTCAACAAAGAGCGACAAGTCCGCATATCGAACTTATAGATGTCATCAATTGAATCAAAGCTTTTATAGTAGAGAAATCACACCAAGATACGATAACACACGAATGGCAACAGGAGTGGTAGTAACCTAACTTACAGCGTTAAAATTGCCGGCATGTTGGCAATTCTGCTTGGCAACTGATGAGAGTATTCCAGCATGGTGGGTGCAAAGGTTGAAATGGTGAAGTTTTACAATGGATGAGCGATAAAATTAGCAACCTTGAGTACATGTAGC